AGGCTTTGCAGGCCTAATAATAGGTCCGTTTTGTCACTTCCATATTACTATTATTCGTCCTGCAAAGCCTGCAGAGACTTTTTTCAAGCCTCTGGGGAGGCCCCAAAAGGCCTCAAACCAACCGAAAAATCAGCTGTGAGGCGCGTGCATGCGCAGTGAGGTAAGTTTGCCTGCGGCTTGCGTCTAGCACAAATGGCTCTGCGTGCCACCTGTGGCATGCGTGCCATAGATTCGCCATCACGGGAATAGAATATGGAATAGAACGGAGTGGAACAGAACAGAACAGGTTTTCCCCATCACTGGTGTTATAATCACAGCTGGATAAGAAGAAAAAAACACCCATTAGTGTGACTTTACCCAGATCATTTGAAGTTTAGATATTAAATCCTGGATATTTTATGGCTGCGCAAGTTCTCCCATCTTGAAAATCCTGCCAAGAATCACTGGCTGACAGCGGCCTCGGTGTCGTATAAGTTGAATATCTGTTTTCCTTTCATACAGATTTGGTTTTGGATGGGAGTAATACATATAAGGAACAAAACTGATCTGCCAAATTTCCCAGGAGGGAAACGGAGAAGGGGGAACAAATTTAAGGATTAAAGAGACATGCAAAACAGTTACCTCTCGGAAATTCTGTTCAAAATGTCGGAGCTGCAAACACTGCTCTAATTTTAGGTGATGCTTGGACCAAAACTGATCAAAAGCTCTTTCGGTCTCATCCAACTGGGCGAGCAACCTGACAAAAGAATGACATTTGATTCAGAAACATAATTTCTTTCTTTGAATTTCAAGGTACGGAAATAAGCTTAGATGAGCCCATGCATTTCTCCATGGAGATGGGACAGTTTCAAAGCAAATTTAAAGCTTTTAGTTTTTTTCGTTAACAAGCCGGGTTTGTTTCTACAACTCTTGAGAAATAAAGCAAGAAAATGCAAAAAGGTACAAAGGAACTGTACCTTGGCTTGGAAGCACTTTACAAATTTTACTCACCATAAAAAAAAAAAAAATACAGCCTGCATTTAAGGATTCTGCTAGTTAAGAAGTCGAAAAATGACTGAATTAATTAATTCATTATCCTACAAAGAAGGGATGTGGCGCACTGGTTAATGCGCTGGATTAAAGATGGCAGAGGCTGTGCAATCTTGGCAACTTTAAGACTTGGGGATTACAACTCCCAGAATTCCCCAGCCAGGATGGCTGGCTGGGGAATTCTGGGAGTTGAAGCCCCCAAGTCTTAAAGTTGAAGTCCACAAGTCTTGAAGTTGTGAAGGTTGGACACTTCCATGGTAGAGAATGTGGGAATGACCTTCGAGGAGTGGGAGAAAAAACTCAAGACTGGACAACCGGCATACAAATAATATCTCGGCCCAGAGAAAGTGAGGAGAGAGGGTGGGAAATATTTCAGGAGGGCACCTTCCTAGTTTTCTGGAGGGTAAAAATAAAGGATAAGAAAAAAAAAACCTTTCAATCTTGCAAGATTCTATTAATCTGACTTTACAGCAAAGCTAGAAGTAGCAAAATATTAGTTGTATTTCTTGTCTGGGCTACCTCACATCATCTAGGCAATAGCCAACAGATCAGTGGTGACTAACCTTTTTTGGCTCCCGTGCCGATAATTGCGTGCACGCTTCCACATGCACATTCACATACAAGCACTCAGAAAGCAATGCGTGCTGCCCCCCCCCACACCTGCGCATGTGATCCCCTCCGCGCCCCATGCATTTCTGCACGCACTGTGTGCACCCCACTGCATGTGTGCCAGATACCCAACAATCAGCTGTCAGGTGGCGGCGGTGCGTACACATGCGCAGTGGGGTTCTTCCGGGTGAGGTCTTGTGTGCTGGCAGAAGTGGCTCTGCGTGCCATAGGCGTGCCATAGGTTCGCCAACATGGCAATAGATGATCAATCTTTTGCATTTCACGAAGCATCGTTTTTGCCCTGGTCTCAAAAATTGGTACAACATATATAAAATCCTCCTAGCAACTATTACTACTAGGACTGCTCCTTCCTTCCTTCCTTCCTTTTCTTCCTTCCTTTCTTCCTCCTCCTCCTCCTTCCGAGCATATTCCTGCAAGTGCAGAGTCTGCTTTTCGGATCATTAAACACCATTTTGCATGGTCAACTGCGTCTCCAGGATGCAGGCCCATGGCTTGCATATCTTTGTTGATGGTGTCTTGCCATCTCTGTTTTGGACATCCACTGCCCATTGACTTCTAGTTGGCAGGCAGTCTTGGCCAAGGTGGAAGGTGCTGCTCTCTGGACATGTCCATACCAGGGGAGTTGGCCTTCTCTCATCTTCTCTATAATTGGTGCCACACCAAAACACTGTCGGATGGTGTCATTTGTGATGTGGTCAAGAAGGGAGGTGCCCAATATCCAATGGAGCATTTGCATTTCCATGGCATGGGGACAGTTTTCGGTCCCTGTTATTGCTGCCCGGCTTTCAGTGCTGTACAATGCAACGGGGCAAATGGTTGTCTTGTAAATCTCAGATTTCAGACGGGTTGGCATTCGTCTGCCACATAACACACCGGTGATGTCTCACTAACGCATCCAGGCTGCATTCACAAATGGTCACTAAACAAATTGTTGTAATTCGAGGACTACCTGAACTACAAGCTGAACTACAAAACAGGTTACTTCAACGTTGAGGTCTTTACCTTTCCACAGTTGCCACGTTTTCTAATTCATCAGGACTGAGTCTGCTGGCGGCCGTTCGTGAGACAGGGTCCCGGATACAAGTCAGTAGCATGGCTCCCTGCTTCACCGCTAGCTTCAGCTCATCCTGTAGGATGTTGGGAAACAGGGAAGGGGGGGAAAAAACGTTCTCATTTAATCCTTAAACCCTGCAACATCTGTCATGTATTGCTAGAATAGAACCTGGAGGATCATAAATTTATTGAGTTATAATCTCTAGCCCCAAAGGCAGGGGTGGGATTCTACTTGGTCGGACCGGTTCTATAGAACTGGTTGTTACAATTCTGTGCAGTTCGGAGAACCAGCAAATCCACTGGCGGGCCTTCCCCTCCCCTCCCCGCCCACTCACTCCTTACCTGATACGCGCACCATCCAACTTGCCTGCCTTATGCCTTCACCTAATTTTTAGTAAGTTCCTATTTTTCCTTCTCCCCCCCCAACCATCAGCTGTTCTGACTATCAGCTGTGTCGGGAGATTTAGATTAGGAAATTGTTGGATTTCTTGCTTTCTAGCTAATCTAAAAGCAGAGATGCTGAACCTTCCTTAGGACTGAAGCTTCTATTTTTCAGTGCACTCAGGTAGCAGATTGCAGAAAGCTAGATCTCTGAGTGAATCTGTGATTATGTGAGCAACTCAATCTGCCTGCCTGCTTTGCCTGATTTTGGGTAAAAGGTGCTTTTTTTAAAAAATGGAAAAATATTTACATAAATTATTACAATATTTACATACAAGCCACACCCAGCCAGTCACATGACCACCAAGACACAATCACAAATTAGGCCACACCCACAGAACTGGTTGTTAAGAAATCTGAATCCCACCCCTGCCCAAAGGCCCACCCTAGATAGCAATTTGACTTCCATGGTTATAAGCCATACTTCATCACATGGTTTGGAGCTTCAGAAAGATAAAAGAACTTGTTGAAAAGAACTGATAAAGAAACGGATGGCCGATTTTTCCTCTTATTAACACTGCAGTATCCCCATGGTCATGGGTTCAAAATTCGAGTAATTGACAACTTGAGTGTGAAAGTTGCAATGTCCCAGAATCATGTGGTCATTATTTGTAAACTTCTCAGCTGACTTTCGACAGGTAACGTCAATGAAAGAAGCCAGAGTCATTTAACGACTGCATGAGTCACTTAACAACTGCAGTGATTTGTCTAACTCAGGACTGTCAAACTCGTGGCCCATGGGCCGGATGCATCACGCACTGGCCACGCCCAAATTTAGCAAAGGGCGGGGGAAAGTCGCAATATGTCATGTGACAAACGATGATGCAAGTTTGACACACCTGGTCTAACTGAAGCAAAAAAGCACGAAACTGTCTTGCTTAGCCAATTTTAGGCTCCACTGTGGTCTATAATTGAAGACAACCTATATACCAGATTGAGTTATTGCAAGGGGAAATAAGCCAAACGGATAAGTACATGAAATAATGAAAAACTGACTTCTGACCTCCATCTCAGGAAACCTTTCGGTGGATATAGAAACCCTGGCAATATCCCCTTTAGAATTGTGAAGTCACACAGGCTCACCTTCAGCTTGGTGTGTTGTTCTTTGTGGGAACACAAAAGTTCTTCCGTGCACTGGACGTTGTTAGGGAGTTCTGTCTCCGCCAGGTTTGTTCCAAAGGCCTGTAACATCTGTGCTGTGGTTTTCACAGTCATGGCAAAATTTTCAATGGCCTGGGTGGTGGGTGAAAATTAAAACAAAAAAGCATCAGCTATCTTGATTCACAAAGACAAGGAAGTTGTTATGCCCCTGTCAGAGTCTGAATCCGAGGAGGAAGCCAGACAGATGTCAGGGAATGGGAGTGTGGCTCCGTTGGCTGTGGAGGAGGCTGGGAAAGGGCGAAGTCCGGCTGGGCAGAGCAGGGGAGAGATAAAACAATAAACTCTGAGACAAACATTTCCTCAAAGTTCCATTTTATTAGAGTTGTCATATTGGCACATCTGGAAAAACCTGAATCTGAGAGTTCCGGGTTTTCTCTTCCCAAAAGAGAAATCAAAGATCCCTCCCCTGCACCCATCAGTCCATCGCATGGCCCAATCAAATCGTCATCCCATCTGGAGACATTCCTCCAGATACTCCCCTCCAGGTGCAGGGCAACATGTCCTTGACTCTCTGAGAAAGAATGTTGTTGAGTCTAATCTTCTACCTCACAATGAAATCCACCCCCTTCCAAATTCCCAGGCACTGAAAGTGGCAGCCTTGAAGCTTCCAAGTAAAAAAATGGCTTCCATGGCTGACTTAAGAACTGTCTGAATTTTGGGCTCAATTGTGATCGTAGGTCATGGACTACATGTATTGATTTGCCCCCATTTCTTTACATTTCCAGCAACGGAACACAGTGTAAAAAATAATTCAAATGCTGGCCTGTCAAACTGGCAGCCCACAGGCTGGGTGTGTCATGCTCAGGCCACGCCCACCCAGGCTCCGCAATGGCAACAAATGTCACAGTGCGTCACGTGACGTGATCAAGCTTGACACCCGTGTTTTAATGTATCTGCTCCTTTTGCAAACAAAGACGCACAAAGAACAAAAGGCTTTGACAGTCGCTGTTACTATCTTGACACGCAAACCCAGACTACAGATGTCCCTGAATAGCCACTCATTAAAATGGACGTGATCCATATTTTCCAGTGTTCGGTTCATCCTTCTTTGGAGTCCAATGTACTGAACCGCTAAAGCGTTTGATCATTTCGGTTCAGCCATGCATTCCCTAATGGCCCCAAGCCATAGCTATGAGGGACTTCGAAGGAACAATCATAACTTGAAACTATTGCAAACTTCTCCATTGCAAATCAGAAAGTCTATGTCAGAGGTGTCAAACTCAAGGCCCGATTTAAGAACTGACCAGCAGTGAATAGCTGCCAGATGCTGTGAATCTGATGTAATATAGGCTGATGTAACAGGCTGAGTGATTCAGCATAGTATGAGTATTTCCCTTTAAGACTGAAGATTAAAGATCCCTTTAAGAGGTGTGTATATAAATGGTAGTCATTAGAGGGCGTGGTTCTCTTTCCTTGTGACCAGTAGTCAGTGGAGAAGTTCTCAGTGTGTTAAGAAGAAGAAAGCTTGCTTGTAAAGGTATTTTGCCTACCACGTGTATTGTCTGTGTATAACTGTAGTATATAAATCACTGTTAAAGTCTCTGTGTGATGTGCTTTGCTCCTGGGTTATCTCACAAAGGTAGTCAGACTTCAAACCGGATCTGGCCCGCAGGGTGCCTAGATCTTTGCCAGCTGAAAAAGGAGCTCGTGAGGGCAATGGGTGCCCCCCAGTTCTGTTTTAGCTGGCAAAGGATTGCAGGAGGCTGTCACAACCGAAAACAGAGCTCAGGAGCCCATTTTCACTGGCAGAGCACTCAGGCTGCCACAGGCGACCCCCGACACAAGTGGCCTCATACTGGCCACGCCCACCCTGGCCACATCCACCCCAGCCCCCTAAGTCAAACACAAACCCTGATGCGGCCCTCAATGAAATCAAGTTTGACACCTCTAGTCTAAGCATTACAGTACTCTGCTTCTCAGACTGTATTATTTCTAATTTAACAGAATAACTTATTATTTTAATAACAGTAATTGCCAGGCTGAGGAGCAGACAGCAATGAAATGCAAAAGGGGGTCAGCAACCTCCCCCCCTGGTGTTTTATTCTTTGGGTTTTTTTTTAATATTTGCCTTTTTTAAAACAAAAACTGATTTTAAAATTGTGTATTCGAGATGGGAAGCCACATAAATTGAACAGATACAAATTAGATTAATCTATTCATAAGTTATAGTAAAATACACGTATCACCTTCCACTCTTTGTTTAAACTTCCTATTTAAAAATCAAATTATTATTTAATTTCTAGTGTAATTCACATTTTTCAGTTCACTTAGAATTTCTGTCTTACTCTATTATTTTTAGAGGCTAGGAGAGAATCTAACAGTTACTACCACTGTACTTACGGTTCGATGGTGTATCCACTGACTGTGTCCATATTCCAAGGTTCCTCCTAACTCCCGAGTAAGCTGACTTGTATCGATGTAACCGTGTAAGTCAGACACTGAATTTAACATGATGATCTGCACCAGAAAAAAAAAAAAAACACAACAAAAGGGTCTAAAATCAAAATCTTTCCACCGATCAATCTTGATTCCTGAAAGATATAGGGGCACACCCATATAATTTACATTATATAGTTTAACGAAAAGAAGGACTTAGGAGTGCCATGATACCAGTCTTCCAATATTTGAGGGGCTGCCACAAAGAGGAGGGGGTCGACTTATTTTCCAAAGCAGCAGAAGGCAAGACAAGAAACAATGGATGGAAACTAATCAAGGAGAGAAACAATCTGGAACTGAGGAGAAACTTTCTCACAGTGAGAACAATTAGCCAGTGGAACAGCTTGCTTCCAGAAGTTCTGATTGATCCAACACTGGAAGTTTTTAAGAAGAGATTGGACAACCATTTGTTTGAAAGGGTATAGGCTTTCCTGCCTTGAGCAGGGGGTTGGACTAGAAGATCTCCAAGGTCCCTTCCAACTCTGTTATTCTGTTACACGTATGACTTTCCCTACACGCTTCCCCATCGATTTTGCTTATTGTAAACTGCCTGGGGAGTTATTTTATCAATGGCTGGAGAATAAATACAGAAGTTAGAAATTAAAGAAGACTAGCAAAAAAATAGTAAGCATGCAAAAAGAATTAAAAATGTTAAGATGGGGAATATTATAAGAATTAGATATATTATGTATATTCATATTAAGTAAGACCAGAGTATTGATATAAGCAATGTATATGTATAAACTGTAATCATTATTGCACAAGATATTTGTACCCAGACAACATACTGTTTAAGTGGAAGATGGATTGTTTATATAAAATAAAATTTAAAAATTATCTTAAAAAAGAAAACTGCCTGGGGGGGTCCCAAGTGGAGATCATGTTATTGTGGGATGCTGCCCCATGGTCATAAGTGTGAGGACCAGTTGTAATCCACTTTTTTCCAGCACTATCAAAACTTCAAATAGCCATTAGCCAAGGACTACCTGTAATGATATTAAATAATCACTGAATGTAGAACATTAACACATTGCAGAGTCAGTGCTACTAAGAACTTTTCAATGAGTTCCTTGGCTTTACTCCATATACAGGGTGTATACTACATACAGATGGGTTCTGTTGTGGTTTGCCGGCAGTAAACCGAAGACTTTTGCATGACTGATCCTGAAGAGGCAAGACGAGAAGGAGAGGCATTTGCTGGATGGAAGAGCGATGCAGAATCAGGAGGAGAAAAAGTGCTTACCGGTACCTTCATTTTAAAGTCATCGCGATACAGTTTGATGCCGATGTCAGCGATCGCCCTTTGGATGAAACGGGACGGCCGGAGGACAAAGACTAACTGCAAATTCCCGGGAAATGCTCCCTAAAAAGACAGGGGGGGGGGGGAGAAAGGGAAAGCGATCTGTTCTAAATCCGTAAGCGCTCCGAAATACCTTTCAACCCTTTGAAGAAGAGGAAAAGTTCTGAAGGCCACATCCACCAACATGCCAAAACCACAGAGCTTGGGGCACCACAGCGCCAATTTAATACCGTTAGTGCAATTGCTCTTCTATACTAATATAGTAGTGTTTAATATTTTCTGTCGTGACTCTTGGTTGGCCACCACTTTCAGTATGAACCTCTGAGAAGATTTTTAAGGCTGAACGTGAGGAAGGTGGATCTTCCTCACTCACCATTCGGACTTTTTAATTGTTTATTTTATACACTGAATCAACCACTGTTGAGATTAAAGGAATAAGACAGGATGCACAAGCTGAAGGTCAACCTCTGGTGTTTCTGAGGGTTATAATGAAATTGTTACAGTACTGTAATAAAATGAGAAATAATAAAAGGAAAGGAAAAAAAACCCAGAATCAGGTGGTTAAAGCTACAAGGACCTGAGCTGAAGCGAGCCTTCGGGAGAAACGTCTCGACTGTACAGGCTGTCACTCAGTGGGGCAGATTGTCAGGTGAAGTGGTGAGGACTTCCAGCATGGGCCAGAGAGTAAACTGTCAGAGTTGTAGTAGTAAATCATGCATTGATTAGAGGATGAGCAATAGAGAAGCAGTGGTGGGATACAAATTTCTTAACAACCAATTCTGTGGGCGTGGTCTAATTTGTGGGTGTGGCTTAATGGTCACGTGACTGGCTGGGGGTGGCTTGTATGTAAATATTGTAAATATTCATGTAAATATTGAATTTTTATTTTTTTTAAAAAGAGCAACTTTTACCGAAGATCAGACAAAGCAGGCAGGCAGATTGAGTTGCTCACAGAATCATAGATTCCTTCAGAGAAGGGATTTCTTTCTGCAATCTGCTACCTGAGTCTGCACTGAAAAATAGAAGCTAGGAAGGTTCAGCTCTGCTTTTAGATTAGCTAGAAAGCAAGAAATCCAACAATTTCCTGCTTCCTAGCTAATTTAAATCTCCCAGCACAGCTGATAGTCAGAACAGCTGATGGGGTGGGTGGGGGGGAAAAAAGGAAAAATAGCAACTTAGCAGGCAAGTTGGACGGCACGCATGCCAGGTAAGGAGTGAGTAGGCAGGGCAGGGTGGGGCCAGCCAATGGTGTGATTTGTGATTTTCTCTGAACTGCGCAGAATCGTAACCACCAGTTCTGTAGAAACTGGTGCCACCAGGTAGAATCCCATCCCTGGAGAGAAGGGGAGGGGAAAACAGGGAGATAGGGAAGGTGAGAGATGGAAAAAACAGAGAGGGATGTGGGAAAGGGAGAGAGAGAGAGAGAGAGAGAAAGACGACGGGGAGAGAAGAAATGGGGGGAAGGAGAAAGAAAGAGAGAGGGAAGTAAAGGGAGAGAAGGAGAGAGGGGAGGGGAGGAGAGAGGGAGGGAAAGGGAAAGAGGTAAAGGAGGGGGGAGAGAGGATGGGGTGAGAGGGAGGAAAAGGAGATGGAAAAAAGGAGAAAGAGGGGAGAAGGAAAGGAGAGAGGGAGAGGAAAAGAGGAGAGGGAGACAGAGAGAGAGGGAGAAGGAGGGAGATTGAGGTAAACGGGAGATAGAGAGCAGGAAAGGAGAGAGATGGGAAAGGGGAGAAGGCGGGGGAGATGGAGGAGAAAAGAGTGGGAGGGGGGAGAGTATGAGAGAGGGGGGAGGGGAAGAAGAGGAGATGGGAGAGGAAGGAAAGAGGGAAAAAAGAGAAGGTGGAGGAAGAGAGGGAGGTAGAGAAACAGAATGTGGTTGACAGTGAGATTTGGTGCTGTTTAAACAAATGGAACTTATTTAGGTCAGCCTTGTTCTGAGATTCCTAACTCCGTTTGATGTTGACTTATAGCTTTACAAAACCACCCAAGACTTCCTGCCTGCTTCCCAGAAGGCACTCCTCGATGCAGAAGGAAAAGAAAAATATTTTTCCAACCTCACCCCTCCTTATGGCTCCCTTGCACTCAGTAGTGGCTGATAAACATTTTCCCCCCACTACTCTTATTTACTCACAAATGCACTGGCTGCCTCTGCTCTTGGCAAATTAATCAGTACTGCTGTGTTATTTAATTTACACCTTACTTTGATTTGTACCAGAGAAAGCAATATAGATCAGGCTTATATTCCTTATTCCTAGATTGATTCATGCCCAAGAACACATCAGGTAAAAATTCCGTCCTGAATTTCAGCTAACCAGGAACCAGTTCACACTTGGTTTCAAAACTGCTACATCGGTTTAAGCTGTGCAAACCAAACCACGATGATTTGGTTAGGGGAGACATGAGAGCAGTGTTCCAATATTTGAGGGGCTGCCACAGGGAGGAGAGGGCCAAGCTATTATCCAAGGCACCCGAAGGCCAGACAAGGAATAATGAGTGGTAACTGACAAAAGGAGAGATTCAGCCTGGAAATGAGGAGAAATTTTCTGACAGTGAGAACAATCAACCCATGGAACAGAAGTTGCCTTCGGAAGTTGTGGGAGCGCCATCACGGGAAGCTTTCAAGAAGAGACTGGACTGTCATATGTCAGAAATGATTTGGGGTCTCCTGCTGGGGTGTGTGTGTGTGTGGACTAGATGACCTACAAGGTCCCTTCCAACTCTGTTCATCTGTTAATTTGCAAACTATATGTCATTGCTTAAGGCATGCAGGCAGATCCAAGCAAAGACGTTGCATTTTAAAACGCCTGCGGGTGCACGGAGTTAGCGAAGCAACGCGGGAACCCTATTCACACCTCTGCAAAGCCACGCTGCGCGAAGAATCCACGCGTGAAAGTAGCGCGCCTGCTTTTTCCACTGAAGCGGGGCCGCCTCGTCCTTCGGAAGAGCGCCCTTCAAAAAGCATTGCATAAATACCGCCTTAGGGGCAAGGCTATTTATATTTCCGCGCATCTTCGCCAATCGGAGCAGGTCATTTGCAGAAGAGAGAGAGGGAACCGTCCTTGCCCGAGCGGCTGGCCCTTTTTTGGGGAGGGGTGGGTGGGAGAGGCTCTGGAGAGAAGACGCCGCGGCTCCCCGTTTCTCTAGCCCCTTTTGGAGGGGGGGGGGGGGGGACAGACCCAGCAGCTCCGTGCACGCGCGGGGCCGTGGGAATCTTTCCAAAGCAGCAAAAGCGGGTTCAGCAATCCTGCCCTTTGCCAAGCAAGAGAAGCGCCCCCCCCTCCCAATCTGCAAAATGCAATGGTAGTGCAACTCCCTCCCTCCCTCCTTTTAATTTCTCCCGAGGCTGCTAAGGCTCTCGGTGCACGGTCGGAGCGGCTTGGCAAGCTGCAGCGACCCTCTGCCTATTTGAAATGCGGGGGTTTGCTGGTTCGTTTTTGCAGAAAAGTCAGGCGGGGCCCATGCGAGCATGCAACAGGGGGGCCCCAGCATCTGGAAGGAAGGCAGGCAGGCGGAGAGATTTGCCGCAGGAGTTTTGCAAGAAGCCACGCGGTGCAACAACAACAACAACAACAACACACGCACCCACACACTAAAAAAAAAAGAGAAAAAGAACCGTGGAATTGGCACACTTACTGCGATTCGGGTGAGCGATGCCTTGACCGCGCTCCATTTGTCCCGCCGTCTGTCGATGATGGTGATGAAGCCGATGCTGGCAGCCTCCAGACTGCAAAATAACCACAGAGGAAGTAATAATTGGGAAATGCAA